AATTAAAGAACCAGATGTTAGCTACCTTTCCTTTCAATTTCATGGAAAAACAACCAGCACGTAAAGCCGTTGAGCAAGCCATTCCTGTCAGAGGCTAAAAGCCTATGACCGTATGGCAGCATTTGGAAAGAAAGAGGACTATCTTTATCCTCGGAGTTACTCAACCATTTAGGTCCGTTTTAAAGACAATATTCACTAACAGATTACACCAAGAATGAATACGATAACTAAATTGGAGTCACATTATATTATACAACTGACTTTTACTCTCTGTAACTGATACTTTTGCCATTGTCGAGAAATCCACTTCATCTCTGGATATACGCTGGTAACCTAACTCAACTTCATCATTGATGTTACTGTTACATCATTATACTCACGTACCAATTATAAGACTTAGTTCTACTGTTAATATTTTTTAGGGATCGAGTTCATCGTACAATTGCTCAGCACACTACTAAGAAATATTGAGGGCACAAATGAACAAACTGAACATTTTATTGTTAAGACTTATTTAACTCAACAAAGATGTGGAATCTATCATACTTGTAGCATATGACGATGCATTCGTGGTACATTTTTGACAGATTGGCCTGTGTTCATCATACACTTACATTTTATTTGCTGATGATATCCATGCTTATTAGATTTATGTGTACTACGTTGTGTATTTAATCACTGACGATGCACTACGTAATGACTTTACGGAGATCTTTTGTGTAAAGTCAATATCGGGGTATTGTCTGGGGTTGGTATATATGCCAAATGTTGTTTTGGATATCAACGAAGGAACGTACTTTTATACCCGTTAGATAAGCTCGTGATTATCTAGAATGAGTGGTTGGCGTATGAATTAATAAACAAAGATATATGAACTGGACAAGCGAATAAAAACGAACACAGTTGTCACACATTTTATTACATCTTCATTTGGATGAATGTATGTCTACCTAATGAGTTCCAAATAAGGCAAGACGTATCCTGGATCCCATTGCTATCTAAAATCCAAAACTGTACTGATAACTGTCAATATTGTATAGATAAACATAACGAATCTCTACATAACAGACTAAATAGCGAAAGCTAAGTGCTCAGCCACTACTTTATGATAAAGTGGCTGCAGATTACTGGAGAAAACCTTCAGCCACATTTCACGCCCGCTCGAACCTAACGACAGTAGACAGAAGTTCTATGCCAATCGAAAAGGACAAAAGTTTAGCTCGAATGTTTTCACTTACTATTTTAGAGATTCGATTAAACCAATGTATAAAAGTATCTATTTTTTATGAGTGGCTGGAAATATTTTAAACCTAGATGGTGATACCCGACACCCGTCAAAGTCTGCTTAGACAAGATGTAGGATGTCTTCATGAAGTCACTAACTACGGGTCTGATGCATGTTGATAGGTGTGAACTACCTATTCGGGTTTGTAGGATAACAGTTGGGGAGCAACCGCTCAGAATCACTTGGAGTAGCGAAGATAGGTTTACCACTTATTTATCTCTAGTTTGTATTCGTCATTTTTATTCTGAGGACCCTCCTTTCTAAAACTATATTCACCACGCACAATAATCAGATATTTCTTTTGAAAAACTGATCTCACTAAACTGCGTGAACAATGGCTGATGATTCATAACAGGTTCACACGTTGCCTACGATTGATTGAACAACACACCCGGAATTCGACAACAAAAGATACCAACCAGTGATTCACCTGCTTTGAGGCGTAGTTCAAAATATTTTTTTTGATTGACCGATATCAATTAGCTGCTAATGACAAATGAAGGATTCAATGGTAACAGATCTAGGTTTATTATGGCATAAAGTGATCATTTATCCCTTGATTTGTTAAGTGTATCTTTGTATTTCAATAAGTCTCCAACAACCATGGTCTGAGGTAAAATATTATTAATGATGACAATCAGACCGGAGGAAACACACCCCCCAAGTAACAATCAATGGAGTAGCCAAGCAGGTCGACTGCTCCGCATATTACGGAAATCTCATCAGACCTAGTAAGCCGTTCCCTGGAGAGCTTACTGCACGAATTGAGGAAGTACAGTTACTTTTTAATAACTTGCGTGGTACCAATATACGCACTAAAAATCGAGTTTAATGTGTATCTTCAGAATCCCTCTATTTCACCAATTTATACCCTCTTGAATGGCATCCTCGACACCTAATCTTTTCTATTACCATTAACACTGTTACTACCTCCACTACTCCGGGATTTCCCCTGACAATTTCATCTCACTGAGTTAATGGGTTATGGAAAATTAAAGAGGTGTACAGTGGTCTTGGGTGCTGTTAGAGGTGTACACATGTCCGATTTACTGCGATGCACTTTGTTAACTGACCTTCACTAGCAACCACCTAATATGATAAATAGTTTGAACTAAATCCATATATATAATTAGGATGCGACTAGATATCATTTTCTCACCCTTGATCATCCATTTGATATTAAAACGGTTCACCATAATTAGATCAGCAAGTTAAGAAAGAAACATATAGATTGGAAAAGAGACTAGTGTCAGGCATACTCCTTACTTATAAGTCTGGCCACACTTTACAATTGCAGTAATAAGGCAAGCTTATTTTGCCAAAAGTAGAGGATACTTGATATACGGGTAAGGATGTTAGTAAAACTTGAGGTTGTTTGTCAAAACAATTCTTCTGAAGGAAACCTTGTATTTCGGGATGCCAATAGGTTCGCCTTCATTATAACAGGCACTACTACTAGGTATTTCAAAATTATCTGCCTTTTTACATTACGTTAGGAAAAGTTAGAAATAAAGACAAATAATCTGTAAATCTAAGGAGTTTTCACAGTAATTTGCTCCAAAAAGTGTTTTGATAAGATCAAGGTAACTTCAAACATGCTCAGTATTTCAACTTTTGGTTAGAATTCTATCTGGCATATTATCATTATCGGAGTAACTGATGGCTTAGGTTATTAGTAGGAAGTGCACTGAAAGCAAGTTACCGTTATATGGTCTTTTGATTCTTCTGTCACATAAAATTAGGCCGGTATAACATAGTAATGACATTGTAACATCTCTGGGGAGAGTTAAGCATATAGGTTTAGAATCTGAAAGCGAAATTTGTCGACGCATAACGTCTTGAAATAGTATAAAACACATGTTGTTTGACATGCATTATCATGTAAATATCACTGGAATTTACGCACCATAATTATGTAAAGTAACTACTACACCAAACAAGATGTAATTTACAATAAAGTACACTTACAAAACTGTTTAGACTACCATGTACAATCAATGGATATACATAATGGTATTCATATCATGAACATGATCGACGTCATCTCTAATAAACATTTTGATTATCCAATAAAGGGTTGTTCAACTTTTGTCGCTCTTCTTTTCTTAGTATGAGACGGAAGGATAAATTCAGCGGATGATTTAAAGCTACCGATTGTCGAACATACATTATGGAGACAAACAGGTCCCCGGTGTAACATGTGGACTACTAGTATTTGACCACAGATGCCTCAGAAATATCGCTCGCATCTGCTGGGATCACCGGGTAAGTGAATAGTGAGGTTAGATACAGGATTTTAGGGAATGATGATAAATCAGTTGATGAGGTTGTGGATCTTCATCGACTGAGATGGTTGGGCCAAGTGTTGCGTACGCCTGAACACTGATTACCACGACGTGCAGTCCTGACTAGTGTGGGAGATGGTTGGAAGAAATTGGGGAGCGGCCAAACTAAAACGTGGCATCAGCCATTGAAGTCACTAACTTCTAGTCTGTGCCATTTTGGTAGATGCAGACTACTTGGTTGGGGTTCGCGTGACTATCGTAACCAATGGTTGGAGACTCTTGGTGACATGGCTCAGAATCGATCACAATGGCGTCGGTTTATACACTCTTTGTCCCCCCCCTCTTAAACAATGAGATTAAAATCGCTCCATATCTTTCTTTCTACGAACTAATTCTTTCTTCCTGTACTATGTCCTTATATGCAATCTTTCTTTCACATATTACCAACACTGAATTAACCACTTCTATGAATCTGGTTGTGTTAATGAGGTATGGCAACTTTGATCGATGCACATATGTGCCTGGTCCTACGTTGTAGCTGACTGATTGACTCTAACATGTGGATCGGAGATCCCGTAGAACAAGTATTAGTTTGCTAACTTAACCTTCATTTGTTTATTTCGGCGAAGTTGTTTTACTAAATTCTGTCTATGCATACTCCTATTATGATACACATATATTATTGTGCAAATCACTGCGTCATTAGTGTATTTAAAGTTGTCTAGATGTTTCAACCAATTGGCGGAAAACTGGTCACAGAAAATAGGCACCGATTTCTCATGAAATATGGAACATTGGACAGGGGATAAAAGACATCTTATATATAAGTATACGTGTGTACTAAGAAGGCATATATTTATATCATATATGTAAGGATAACTTCCAATTTTTGTACTGATGAATTATTCAGAACAGCAGTGGTAGTCTTAATCTCTGTGATACGAAATCTCATTCACCTGATCTTTCTTTAGTCTTGCATAGAGTACGCGTGAGACGTATCATCAGGTAGTGGATTAGCATTAACGATAGTAACAATTGACAATAATAGAAGCAATAATAAACAAATACAACGAATATATATAAAAATATTGAGCAAAAAAGGATGATAACGGAAAAGCTACAAGCAAAATACTTTATAAGATGTTGCAAAGCTAAAATTGTTTTTCTTTACAATCATGTAGTGTTTACACCAAAATCATGAGATAATTATCATCCTATTACAATGTTAACGGCAATAAAAAAATATAAACGTGCAACATGTGAAAGCGAGGAAAAAAACACAAATATAATCTGACTTGAGTAAAACAGCTCGACAGTAATTCAGTTGGCGTTTCCTCATGGAATGTTTGATTACACAAGCGAAACAAATAGTTTAATTAACAAATGAATTCTTTTCTACTTACTACACGTATGCCAACCAATTATACGAACTACATGGATTCAAATTGATCAACTCGTTTTTTCGTATTCCCCTCACGTATAGCTCTTAGTGTACGATATTTATCCATACCTTTGCTTACGATATCCTCATAATGAATGTCGATCGCTTGCATCTTATTTGGATTTCGAACAGAGCTTAAATCTTGTCGTAATAATTTAAGGCGTGTCGCATGATCCTCATCAGTATCTTGTTTGGACTGACGTAAATCCTCATCAACATTATTGACTGCCTCCAGTTCGCATTCTAAAACACAATCAATAAATTTCATATATACATATACATAGATGCATATAATCATAACGGTACTACTAATTGTCGTAGCAATAGTGGTAGTAGCCCTAGGGGCAAACAAATAGATTGAGAGTGGTTCAATGAACTAAATGCAACAGTTATTACTGCGTACACAAGTATAAACTAGTATTTGTAGGGATCAGGAGAAAAATAAACCTTAGGTAACGTAAAGGATATGGTACTGTAAATGGCATGATAAAATGTTTAACTATATTTAATTTGGTTGTAATGAAGACTTTGAATGTAAATAATTCATTTGAAATAATAATTTGTAGGAAGCAGATATATATATATATATATATATATATATATATATATATATATATGACTAGGCGCATGACTTTGTATTTCTTTGACACGAAAGGTTATATGAGATATGAAGCTGACAAGGAATAGGCGCTCTCTGCAGCTACAAACATGATGATTTAACGTATACATGTCCTGTAAGTTAGAAATTACATAGATGGTTAATAACTTTATTTGTTTGCGGTTTGGTAAAGAAAATCTAATGAGTTTGTTAAATAAATGGTTAGAAAGTTCATGGTATTTCAAAAGCTGAGAAATGTACATCACACAATAACGATTTTGTTCCCAATTAATCACTATGGTTAAGAAAAATATTTAAGTGGTACATCGCTAACCGTCAGATTCTTGTTTCTGTTCACTGAAGTGGTCCATTTCTGCTTCATGCATAGCTCGAACGCGAGCCAGTTCAGCCTCAAACTGACGCTTTTCTTCCTCTCGCTCCTGTAGTAGTTGGTTTTGCTCATTAATTTTGGCATTGATTTCATCGCGTTCCTGTGCTATACGCTGACGCTCTTCTATTGACTTAAAGCAGTTGAACCACGGTTTATGAAAAAACAAGACAAAAAAATCGTCGTTTACCATGGATTGTTATTAGTACAGCACGATGATCAAGTATAGCTACCTATAACTGGAATTATCATAGGAAAACTAGAAATGCTATTGACCTAAAGTGTAGTTCTTAAATTATTAAACTAGAGCTGTAACTAGTGAATTTAGATGTTGTACGGTCTTCAAAAGAATAGGATTCACACTTAACAATAGCCTCTGCTTACCATGAAAAGTAGGTAATTACCTTTAGTGTAATACCTTTGCCTGGAGAGGTTATGGGACTCCGTAGGTTGATTTTCATCAATGAGGAATAAAAAGTCAACTTTAAACTAGGGGGGACTCGTGTCGTTTCACATTTCAGTTCAAAGATGTCTTTAAGGACAAAGATGAGTAACGTTGATATAACTTTAAACAAAGTTGGATTTTCTTGATAACACATCTCTAATAATTGCTAACTGGTAAGATAAAGATACAATTTGGAGATTTGCTGTCAAATGGGTTTAATTGTTCAACAATTAAACAAGAACGATTATCATCAGAAACTAAATCAAAAATAAAGGGAAAAACAAAAGTAATTTTAGAATGTTCATCAAATCTTACCAGTCCTAATTTGCGATTTGCTTCTTCTAGATAATACTGTAAGTTTTCTAATTGTTTTCGTGCATTTTTTTCTTCTTCAAGTTGTGCATTCAATTCATTAACTTTACATTCATATTGTTCTAAAACTGTTTGCGTACGTGCGAATGCTTCCTCGTTTTCTTGCATTAAACGTTGCATATCTTGTAGTCGTTTTTCCATTACTTCTCTCGCTTCTTGTTCAGCACGTAGTTTTTCCCTTAATGATATATTAATTAAGTAGAAGTTAATTTGAGTTTGATAAAATATGAATAATCAGACCTGTATAGAAGCAAAAAAGCTATAATTATTCACAAATTACAAACAACCACAAAATTATTGTCCTTACATGTGTTACCACAGTGCACTGCAGTTAAGAGACGAACAAGCATTTATTGAATGTACAGAAAACAAACTGGAGTAAGAGGACATGAAATTATTTAATTTACTTTCGAAACAAAAAGAGGGGAGAATATTTAGTGAATGAATATCTGAATTGGGTTTTTTTCTGGTATATCCTAAAAACTTATTTTAGTAAATTGACTATTGTATAAAACAATAAATGAATAGTGATGTTATTTCGTCTGTGAGCACAAGAACTATTTTAATCAAATTCAGTCGAGAAAACCATGAAGCTTACGTTTATGGCAGTAACAGAAAGGTTTTGCCCACTGAATGACAGATAAATACGTAAAGTTGTATAACAGTCTGGGTGTAAACTTACAATTATGGACCAGATAAATAACACTTAGAAATTTAGTAACACAGAAAGTCCTACTCTAAGAGTTACATGTATTTTGTTAGTATGTTGTGACGAGAAGGTTGTTCAGTCAATAAAGTGCATCGCAGTAAATCGGACATGTGTACACCTCTTTAATTTTCCATAACCCATTAACTCAGTGAGATGAAATTGTCAGGGGAAATCCCGGAGTAGTGGAGGTAGTAACAGTGTTAATGGTAATAGAAAAGATTAGGTGTCGAGGATGCCATTCAAGAGGGTATAAATTGGTGAGATAAAAGGATTCTGAAGAATATGGTACCTTGGGGTTTAGAAGAAGGCAACGAATGAACGCACCTGCTCAGTCACTAACACTCCTTAGCCATATCGTTCAAGATCCTTAACTATTGGTTACAGTATTCTAGCGAACCTTAACTAGATAACCTTTTAATATGGATCAGTTCGTTTGTCAATGATTATTTAGATTGCTGCTACGCATTGGTTTAGTTACCTTCAGCCTCCTTTTAACTTACTCCTACATCCGATAACAAGCGTCGATGTAGAGGGTGTTTGTCCAAACCATCTTAATTGAAGATTTGTCTCATCAATCGATTTGCTACCTCTACCGAGTACCCCATTTCTAGCCTGACATTGCTTGGATGTTAGTCCCAAAATACATGGCGATAATTCGAAGATCCCTTGGTTGTAGTGATTATTCGATAAATCACTAAGCGAAGTAACATTAGACAATCCCTCAGAATAGGCGAAGTTGACATCTTTTGGGATAAGTAGGCGAGTTTTTGGATATGAGGTCTGGTTAGAAAATATCAGACATCCAAGTGATCGATAAAACATTTTACTGATTTGAAATGTAAATTAAATAACCTGAAATGATATTACTTTGTGTTATCTATCCGCTCTCAATAGGTGGACGAGTGTTTCCTCACTTCGGTATTTTTTTCAAAAGCGTTAAAAAATCTGTTTCCTAAACGATAACATGTTTATAACCTTTCTTTCTACTATGAGGGAATTAAGTTATTTAGAAGGTTACAAGTTTTTTCATAGAAAATTCAGAGCTGCATCTACAGTCAAGGGTCTTTTATATTTGTGCATAATCAGTTACCCACATATGTCTTTTTCCAAGGAGTGATCACAAAATACTAATATTGGGTGATAAGAAAAAGGAATGACTACTGTGTATGAAAAGAATTCACTCAGGGTTAACAATTACTTGGTAGAACAGAGCTAGTTACCCAGAGGTCTGTAGTCTGAATCCTGCAATGATTTAGACTTTTCAAATTTTTAGTTACCACCATTGTATACAAAATAGTATATCAATCACCAAAAATGTGTACAGTTGATTTGATAAGTAATTCAAGAGTTACATTATCATAGTCTGTTTTTGATTGGTACACGGAGCAAAATGTTGACAGGTAATTATCAAAACACATTACGACAATCCAAATCACTTACGAGATCCTCACCACTCTATTTTTAAAATAATTATAAACACAAATCTGATGAGTACTAAATATGGTATAGAACTTAAGATGTTTATTATCTCCAGTAGCTGTATTCTCATGGAAATCAGCTAGGTCAACACAAAGTGATAAATCACATATGCCACACAATCTTGAACTTTTTCTATGAAAACACTGTGATTAGGTAAGCAAGCGTGATATCATGATACGATATTGTATATGGGAATACCAGAAGCTACGTCTAAGCGTATCACACGCAGAAATGATATTTTTCGCTTTTATCTAGCCTTTTACCGAAATAGCATAGTAAATCGTAAACCGTGACCAAGTAAATGTATGCGTTTGGAATTGGTGCACATGTGTGGTGGCAAAGTCTGGTGCATTAGCAGGCTTTTTATACTAGTGTATCTGAATGACTAAACGTCTCCCCATATAGGTGAGAGTTATGCGTTTATACCACTTAATCACAGACGTGGAGCCATATTAGTGATTTAAGAACACTTGGTGAAGTTATACTCTACACTTTTAGCACACCTTCATCAACGTAATGAGATATAAGAATATTTCTGAATTAATACATATTTCGATCCACAGTCCAGTTGAAAATGTTTGAGTTCACACTCATTTGACCGAAGAGTAGTAATGGATTTAACAAAAATGGATAACAATCGAATTCTGCTCCTTAGTGCATAACCTTGTTCACAAAACGTAATAGTAACTTGAGAACTCCATTTTCGATTAAATTTATGGTTGTGCTTACTTGTAATTATTTCTAAAACAACCATATATGGCTGTATATTGGTTGTCAATCCTTAAAACTCAGTACATTAGATATACTACTAATCATGTAGCCTATAAGATCCAGGTGAATGTATGTAGATCCTACCATTAGCTAAAATTGTTTTCAACCACGAAAATAACATCTCCGAATGATGGCTCACGGTAAGATGATTCTATGATTCATTTAAGTTAAAAGCAAATTTTTGTAAGCCACTTCGATATTCTATGCAATCCACTTCCTTTATCCTATTGTGATGGGAAAAGTCAATACCGTACAAAGCAAAGGGATTGAAATGATATAGAAAACCAAACAGATAATTAAATTCGCAAACAACGAACGTGATCAAGAAACAACAAGTATAAAATAATAATTACATCGAAGATCCGGAGAAAAATAAATGTTGAATACATCTGGGCTGTTGCCCAAAGCCTCCAAAAATGGTTATGACCATATTACGAGTCCCAATAAAAATAATTGCATTTCTTGATACGATTCAACAGTCAGATTTGGTTTGGTTGTCACTAAACCCTTTAGTCAAATGTACCTGTTTTGCAATCATAAAGTAATAAAGGACGAACTGCCGAGTAGTGAAGTTGGCCATAATAAGGTAGAACACTAGCACCATACATAACATTATTCGAGAGAACTTAAGCAAGGATTTAATATTGAGTTTGTTAGTCACTAATTGACTGGGGCTGATCACATTCTATATAAGTACAAATGTTATTTGCATTTATGTTTTACCAAGATATTAGTAAATAAAATTCATCAAGAGGAAGGTAATAACAATGAAGAAATAATCCTCATATAAACTTTCTTGTAACTGAATCAATTTGTAAAGGTGAAGTGCAAACCGTTGTGTTTTTAAGCTCGGCTAATTATCACGTGACTTATTCGCCAATAGGAATATGACTTATACAATCTTAGCCCTGTGCCAAACCAATGATATATAGACCTGTATGAGCAGTCTCGAGTCCCGGTTGGTCCTTTTCTTCGCCTAGCACTGACAGTTGATGCCAGAAAACCAATACCAGCTTCCACTATATCTATCACATATTTCAAACATACTAGGTTTATATACAAACCAAACAGACCACATCACACCATAAAATAGAAAATAACATTTATACAAGATCATGCCAAATAGTGGCTGCGATTGTGGGGAACTGTAATTAATAAACTGAAAACAACTCAAAAACAGTAAATTATATCAAATAGTCTATAGGTCAAAATAAAGCTTATGATAAGAGGACTATGATTATACCTAATCTAGTTACCTAATAAATATACAACATGAATATACGTGTAATATTAGTCCATAAATGAATCCCAACAGTCAGTCAGTAACAACGTGGAACTTCGTACGTACGTACATCAGTTCGAGTTGCCACACCACATTAGCACAGAGATGCAGTGGTCGATTCAAATCCCGTAGTGCTAGATGTAGTAAAATTATAAGCTGTAATCAGAAAAATTAAGGTTTGAAGATGTTATTCAAGGAAAATAATCCAGTGAAATAAATTTGGAAAGCGAAAAAAGAAAGGGACATGAAGAATTCAGAAGATTAGAATCTGGGAGAACACAAAAAGTGGATGCACCTGCAGTTAATTTTGATTATTCTCGTCGGGATATAACACACAATAGATTATTAGATATTTATTATAATACACTCACCTTTCAGCATCACGTATAGTCTGTCGCTCCTTAGCTTTTACTTTCATTTGTTGAACTTCAATCGAATCGGGTTGACGTCGAATAGCATATAATTTATGGTTGCCTGTAGATAGGTTTAGAATAAGTTTAGATGTATGAGTACTATCCGTGTAGAATACGAGAACCTAAAATTAGACAAGAGACAATGAAGAGCAACTAGTGATGTCAGCATGACAATCTGTAAAACGTAAAATGCCAAAAAAAAGCAACATTGGCACATTGGGTTAACAAAAAAAGCTAATAAACCCAAAAGAAATTATATAATTAATTCAAAAAACAAACACGGAATAATCCATTTTTATCTTATTACTACATACAAAGGCAACAAAACGATTGATGCTTTTACTACAGGAAAACAATGACCAGTAAACTGAGCATAACAACACATTTTATTGCTTCAAAATATAATGCTGCTTTTCATTTTCAGCTTCTTACATAACAAAATAAGCAAAGCAGAGTAATATTTCAAACATAAGATGGTGACAACACAAATACCAATATGATCACTAAGAAACATTTAGCTGAAAACTAAATACATTGACATTAACCACAAACACTAACCATAGTGATTTTGATGTAGTCCACTTACTGAAAGTTACAACTCCTATCATAAAAACTAACCAAACAGTATCAAGGAACTAATTGACTTGAGAAACAATAAAAAATCACAATAATTCAATAAAATCAAATAGAAAATCAAGAGACCTGTTGTTTCTTTTTGTTATTGTGGATATATGACGGAATTCTGGTTAAACGAGATTTCGAGCTATTTGTCAGGTGTATTTTGTATAATTCAAAATAGTATTTCGTGCTCATATCGAAACAGCCGAAATTGTTATATGTTCATTCAGTAAGAAATATATGTCTAGAGACTAGAGGTCACTTCACAAAACTCAAAATCAGTGAATTTTATCTTAAGATAAAGTCAACCGACTTTGATCCCGTCTAGCGCACGTCGATTTATGAACCCGATGAAATTATTCTGTAATTACCTACTTATAACTAACAGAATAAAGAAAGGAAACAGATTTCAGTCACTTACCTTCCCAGAAGCTTCAACAGGCTTGACGAAAAATTTATTGCGAGAATAGGATAACTTTTGTATCTCATTCCAGGGAAAGGTAACCTTTGGTGCTAATCTGTGAAGTTCGAAGAAGAAAACGTTTAATTGAGACGTTACACAAGTCATGGAGTGGACTGACGTCTTTTATATCCAACAATTTAAAGTATTGTGTAAAATTGTATAGCGAAACTAAGTATCGTTCATATATATTGGAACAATATTTCGTTAAATCTGTTTTTTTTTAAAAAAATTAGCATTGAATGTCTTGATTAACGAGTACTTTATGAAGTATTAAAAACGGAATTCACTAAATTGATAGTCCCTTATTAACAATGTACCGTGTTATCAGAAAACACTAACTTATCGTATTTTAGTAGTCAAGCGCAAACCGTAAACGAGATAAATCTACACAATATGGTTGGATGATTTGCATGAACTTTACCAATTTGGGAGTTTTCGTCAATAATCGGTGCGATTAGAAATCAGAGAATTAGAGAGATGGACTTAAGCTCTAACACCATCCTATAGAGTAAGCCGGTAACCCCGATCAGGATTGAAACTATTCGCAACCGTAGCTGATACCTTGGGATGGCGATTGGGTCTGTTTGTGATAAACCAATCGAGTTACATTAATCGTAACACTTGTCCGTTTAGATACGTGCCATGCCAGACAGGTCGATTGAAGTGACAAAACTACAAGTAGGAACTCCACGTCCACTGACGAAGTCGTATTTTCGAATACATAAGGTCCTAACAGATGTAGTGTACCTCTCGAAAAACTATGATCTTTGGAAATGCTGCATCTATATGACGTAAAGTAATTAGGGTCGACTTTGAAAATGAAGCCTCACCTCGTCCAGTAAACACTAATACGACACAGGATAATCACTGACTCTGCGAACCGATATCTCACGATGAGGTAGATGCCCACTTCAGCCGGATGCATTGGAAGAACCAAGGTTGAAGGCTCACGTGTGGTCTTACCACCTTTATTTACTACATTCTACTCTAACATAACGAGTTGCCTCGTGGTTTTATCGCAAGCTAAGGATCGTTAGATATCCATGATTGAACACCATAAACCTATTATTCATGTTCTGCCTTCGCATAGTTGCAAATATAAATTACCAAAGTTAAACACTTCCCCACCGTAAACTATAAGTTATTTTACTACGAACGAAAATTTGGACACTCAAAGTACAACCGGAACTATGGTCAGGCTATCTCTAATACATGTGAAATATATCGTGTTTATTAATGTGACTATCATTAACTCAAAGAAACTTGACGGAATCCGTTCGTACATGTTTAATTAGATTTTCTTCAAGCACCAACCTCAACTTACTATGAAGTAACATTTAGCAAATAAAACTATACTTATTTATTCTAAAAGCCCTATGTGATATAGCGTAATCAAGATTAAAAGATGTTTGTTTCGAAAGACTGATTGTTATGAATTCGGAAAACAGGAGGTAAGGGGTAGAACTGTTATTATAAACTCATTAGCAGGTAAAGGTACGTAGTTTGGAGTCACACCTTAGGTGTGAAAGCTAGTGATACTAACCGGTTGCTGTGGCTGAAGTGAAGAAGGGTTTAAACATGCAACTTAGCGGCTGAAAACAAGAGAAATATTGGAAATTGTCATGTACTATGAAGTTGGGAAGCCTATCAAAAACGAAAAACTCACTGGTTGTCATATTCATAAATGTTCAAACCTAAAGCATCAATACCAAGCCACAAGTCAGTCTTTTTTTCATTTTTTATTTTAAAAAATGTAACTCCAAACATTTCTAGATCTTGAGCAATTCTTATGTATTCCTTTACTGCGTCGTCCTTGGACATATTTTTATGCGAAGAAACACAATTCATCACTTTGGCTTCCCATTCTTCATCAGTTAGATTATATTGTTCACGTACACTAAAATAAATGTAGACAAAAAAGCATGTCAAGTCGATTGGTGTGGAGGAAAACTGAGATCCAGTTTAACATAAATAAGTTTAATGAGCAAGAGGAGACACTTTTAGGCTGACCTATGATTTTGAAGATAGATTATTTATATAGTAGGTGAAGTATTTTTGTAGCATCAAGAGACAAATACCTGAACAATCAAATCAAAAAAACATCTTTAAATCACAAGTTATGGATTGCGAGGTTAATTATTTTCATGTTTACACATACTGATTGACGTCCTACATTAACATGAGCGGAAACTATTTTCATAGACATACAATTTATCCACTCATATGCCAAAAGTTAGAAATACACTTTCGGTTGACATGAAATCTACATTGTAGTGACGGTTGTGTGATGACAAGCAATCTGCTTGCTTTCTTCAACTTAGTCGTAACCAGAGGAAAAATGTGGCCAATATGTGAATAAAATTGGGCTGATAACAGCAGTGGTAAAACTGGCGAAATGATTACCAAACTGGTAGCAATAGTATTAGTGAGAGTAGAATAGAAAATGATTTTGGAAAAGGTGGGTTTACGAAACGCAGTATCGAATACTTTTGAAATTCTAGGGTAATAATAAATGAATACATCTGAGTTATGTCACAACCTCAACAAATCGTCACGATAACCGCATATACTAAAATGTATAAAATTGACAATCAAAAACTAACTATAATAATCCTATCGGAATTAAAGAAACATAAGCCTTTGATAAGATTAATCGTGAGTGCATAGCACTCCTCTTGAATATTGATGCAGACCAAGTCCGACCTAAGATAATACGATTTAGTGTACCAGGAATATTTATGTAGGAATGAAAGTTGAAATTACGTTAAGACACATATACATGGAATATAGGTCTGAAGTGATGGGACGAAGGATTATACAGTATGAGGAAGCATTATAACACATGGTTTACGGGGGATTAGAAGAATGGGTAAAATCGTGCTAGTTCAATCAGTTCTGAGTTGTTTAATCTCTGGATATCCAACGACGTATCAACCTTTTGACTCGGTTTCACTCACTAATCTGCAACTCTAAGGACAAACTTGGCGAGCTTAAATTTATGAGGCGCATCAATAAGATTTAAATCAGTTTCGAATTTGTGTTAAGCTTATGTAACTATATGGCCTTTCCCTAACCATAGTAGGTTGGGTTTTTCCGATCTCACTTTGACGTCAATCAGATGTCACTCATAAACTAGTTTTACCAATAACAGATTAGCTACACCATTCAACATTTATCACCTAGCTTACACTGATGAAGCTAGTAGTGCTAAAGTACACGAATTGGAGGAAAACCTACTTTGCAGAAAGGTATTTGGAGATGTTAAGGGGTTTTCTGACGGTGGATGGACCATTTCCCTCACTGCGAATAAGATATTGATAGGAAGCCAATAAAACAGCAGTTTCTGCAGGACAATAAATTCTCCCACTGACTATGTCGTCTTTAACCTATGGATATCATTACATTGTTTAGCAAAACAGTAGTTACATCATAGTAAAAATACAAACGAGTTGTTTCATCAATAAGTTCATTCGATGGGTCCTCTGGATAGTATTTCACTTTGACGTCAAAATGCAGTGGGCCGTCCTTGATTTTTTGCGTTGTCGTAATCTTCTTATCGGCCTCTGGCCACGTAAGTCTGTTTTTGTGGTCCACACACTGAAGACCGAAATACCACATCTCTCTAATACCAAGAGCTGTGCAAACCTGAGTCTTTAAGAGAACTACATGTAGCTTACTTTCGAGACGAGCTGTGCCCCAGAGGCCTTGCGCTTCAATGTGAAGTCCAACTGGGCATCCTTCGTAAGAACAGATACAGGTACCTAGGAAATAAGGATAACTAAAGAAACAAACCAATTTCGGCATCACGCAAGAATCACTACCAGTAGCGAACCCGGCGGGCTAATTGTATCGCAACTGTTGAGCACCAAGTTAAACAAATCTAAATTTTACCTTGTTAGTGTGAAAAATTGAAGATAAAAAGTCTCACGTTGTCACTTCAATTCATATTTAAAAGCTTCGTGAAAAACCTTTATAATTCGACTAATTTTTTTGTGCTGGCTTTCTTAGGTTACGTAGACGCTCCAGGTTGTTGAAATCATCCCTTGTGGTTATCGCAGTCACTCGACTGCTCTGATTATAAGGGATTTTGTGTTAGATAAGGGTTAGCATCTATTGGGCACAAATAATGGCTGTCGTGATAGTAGTGACGTCACTAGGCCGGTTAGCTGGTTGCGACATGATAAATTTTAGAAAATCCGTATACTTAAATGGTCCACGTGGTTTTAGATGGTTCTGAGCGAAATAGACAAAGCTTTCGCTCAACGGGCAATTGATGTTACCAGGTAGGAACCTTAGTATATTTGACGATAAGAGAGAAAAAAATATTAGAAAACTATAGCGAGATGCTGTTTTTAGTCCTTAAGTATATATCAAGTTTTCTCTTAAATGGCTCCTAAGGAATCATGTGATCTAGCTCAGCAGGCAGCCAATTCCAACATTTGTCTACTCTTACAGATGTGTCCTTACAGTTCCTTCAGCTGTGTTGCGTTTCTCTTTTATGGGTGTTGCCCCTAAGGTTTGTATTAGAACTGAAGTTAAGTAGGTATTTAGGTGGATGCTCAGAAGTACTTAAGGTTCTGTAAGTCATTAGAAGGTCAACTCTGAGACAGCAATACTTAAATGAGCAAAGCTTCAGCGACTTGGGGTGCTATTGATAAGATTTGAATTAAAGTACTTTAACTGATTTAGTGGCTCGCCTTTGGATGAGTTCCATTATGTCTCTAAATGGGGTTGAATTAAACTGTAGGGGATCAAGTGGACAGTTTGCCCATTGTACTGGTCAAAAATACGCTTCAACTTTATCAATCCAAGGTTTGCTCGAAAGGCATTTTTGTAGCAGTCAATGTAATATTTCAGATTATAGGACACCAACTTGGGATACCTCTAGATACGAGTTACATAAGTTGTGTTTTCAGTCTACAACATGTCTCCGACGGACTACTTCATACTTAGAAGTGTTAAAGGTTAACCCATTGCCATCCTCCCAACTTTGAAGTCTCATCAGATCGTCCTGAGGTGCCAGATAATTATCTTGACCGCAGACTTCTCTCTAGAGCTTCACCAAAAGTGGCCAGAAGAGGTCAGTAAATACGCTTTCTAGACTAAGACATAGACGCGGAGCGGTGTATTCTGCTTATTCTGACAGGTATAAGCAGTATGTAGCATCGATCGAAAGTGGAATGCGTAGTGTGGCGTCGAGTCACGGTTGACCATGATCACCACTACAGGAAGACTACGTGCCAGTTAACCGATATGATCCTCCGTAGGCCAAGTATCAGAAGGCAGCTGATGGCTATAGTCGAGATGCATTTGTCAGCAATCTCGTGGTATCGAAAGAATACCGAGATCGTGCCAGGTTACAAGTGTGGTTACTGAGCGTAACCGAATTCGTGCAAGGTCACAATCAACGGGAGGATGTATGTATTTTGGTACAGTTAAACAAACAAGTACGGTAAAACAATCCCTGGCACAATTAGTTATAATAATAATCGTTTCCATTACACCATTCTCGTTCTCTTGATAAAAGCAGGTCACTACAAATGCCTGGGAGTAGAAGATTGAAATGACGAGAACAGGAAGGCGATCATCCAACAATCGAAATAAGAACATATTTAAAAAAATAATCGGGTATGTTAAGGGAAATTGAAGGAAAATGTGACAATAATATATTTAATGTATGTTTTTCATATTTTCTGAACGCTGTAATTTTGCATGTAAAAGTAAATTGGTTTTTTTCCACTGATTTTTCGTTCGCAAAGGCGGCATGGACCTATAACAATGATTTCTTGTGTCTATTAGGTATTAACAGCAATATGTTGGTCGGATCACCTGTGTTAACTATTTAACAGGAAGGATGCAGTGGCAAGGACCGGTCAGTAGATCTGATTCAGTTCATGAACTGGCGACATAATACTAACGTAATAATGCACAATTCTGCCATAAGGTGTGCTTTATACAAGTTTCATACTAAATTAAAATAATGGTCATGAGATTGCGTGACAGTAGGCTTTCTTTGTACATGGTTGGAATCTCTTAGATAACCTGCTTGCTCATGACCTCAGATGCAATTACAGGCCACACATTTTAGCAATAACTGGGCTTTTGTTGAAATCTTAGAGAAATGAATTACGTAATACCCAAGACATGGTGAATTTTAAACTGACGATTCGTTATCTAATATTTGTAAAAAGTTCTAATCAAAATGGAAGTTTGAAGTATTGTAGTCGAATTGGGATTACCAATTGTAGCGTGGCGTCGAGTTGAGATTAACTATGAACACCGCTACCAAGATATACGTGCCAAATAGATCAGAAGGCGTAAGAAGCTCGTTCCAAATGACTCCATAAAATCCCCGAGAAGCCGAATACCAGAAGGCAATTAATGGACCAAGTCGAGGTTTATTTGCTGGCGATCTCGTGGCATCGAAAGGATACCGAGATCGTGCCAGGATACAAGCTTGGTTACAGAACGTAACCAAATTCGCGCGAAGTTACAATCAAAGTGTAAGTATAAGAATGGAAGCACAAAATAGCTGTCATTAGCACAGTCAAACAAAAGCACGTTAAAACAAACACTGGTACAGTTGGTTATAATAATAATTGTTTTTATTAAACCAGTCGTGTTCTCGTGATAAACGTGAGTCACTACAGGAGCCCCCCGCTAGAAAGGGTTTACACTTTCGATAAATAGCGGTTTGAATCGTGGGACTGATCGGCTGACGAGCGATTGTAGGACGGAAAGATTGGCGAACAGGAAAGCGATCGTTGATCGTCGAGTTGCCAACGAAGGTCGTTTTCGGAGAACAGTACCAGGAGCGATGTGTTGTATTGATTGCTCGAGTTGGCATGCTACACGAGAGTGGTTTGTATCCAGAATCTGAAGAGGGCGTTCGTAGGGTGCGGACCAGGAACGCTGCAGACGAAGGACGAAACCACGTTGAGCCAAAAGACCAGAAGCGACCGTAACGACCAAGTTCGAGACCAAGCGTGTGCCAAGCGTTCGAAACCAATATATCGACTGAGTGCGTTGACAAGAGCATGGGTGGCCAATCCAGCTTTCGCCAAAGTTGACTGAAGTCGACGGAACCAAACGGAGATGGTCGAAGGCGTGGGCTCAGGAAACAAAAAGAAAATCAAAAAAGAAGAGTGTAGCATACGTGTAGTATAGGAATAATCCTACACCGTATCGGTAGCTGACTGTGCGACTATTCGCGGAAGCGTACGGGTAACCGTACTCGGCGACCGGAACGTGAGACGGCAGTCTCGTTCGCGTCGCGTGAGCCTGCAATCTCATCCGAGGTCAGAGGCGGCGTGGTCTGCTGATCTGGACGTGAGACTATCGTCTCGTCCGTAGACGGTGCAGATGACGCGTGCTGTTGACCGGGACGTGAGAATGAGGTCTCAGATGCATCTAGCGTGGGACCTGAAGATTTAAGGATCCCGCTAGGTTTAATAGGTCTAGCATTGAATCTCAGGTTACCAGATAGGGCACTGTCATCGACGTGTGCTGGTTTGAGACGATCAACGCTGACGATCTCGACGCGTCCATGTCGATCAACCTTGAAGGTCTTTTCGTGACGAGCGATCACGTGAAAAGGGCCTTCGTAAGGTTGTTGCCAAGGTTTGCGTACCGAATCTACTCGTACAAAAACATGTGAACAGGTAGATAACTCTCGAGGGAGAGCGACCTGTCGATGTTGTATTCGAGTTGACACCGGAGACAGCGTTCACATAAATGCAGACAGTCGACGGACGTTGTCTGATTTACCGAAATTAGGTCTGCTCCGTGGTGTGAAGGATTCTCCGGGCAGACGCAATGTCGTGCCGTATACAAGTCCAGTGGCGGAACATTGGATATCTGCCTTTAAGCTCGTTCTCCCCCTAAAAGAACGAGCGGTAAGGTTTCGTGCCAGTTGCCGTTTTCGTGTGCTCGTAGAACACTTTTAAGTTGGCAGTGAAACCGTTCAACTTAACCATTTGGTGCTGGGTGGTAGACGGATATGCTTATGCGTATGCATTCCGTACCAAGCAGCCGGGTCAGCGAGGAGAATCGTTAATAGGGTAACATTTCTCGAATAAAGCGTGGAATTCATCATCACGCGAATAAAAAGTGACAAGGATTCGGTACACATACGTGTGAGTCTATTATATTAATACTATTCTTATCGTTATCCGTCATGTCGCGTATATTATATATTAAAAAATATGAAAATATACGACAGACGTGGATAGATAAATCATAGACTCACCGAATTGGCTTCTTTGGAAGATTTGACCAGAAGCTGAGGCGTGTTCCAAAATACGGGTCACCAATTGTAGTCGAATTGGGATTACCAATTGTAGCGTGGCGTCGAGTTGAGATTAACTATGAACACCGCTACCAAGATATACGTGCCAAATAGATCAGAAGGCGTAAGAAGCTCGTTCCAAATGACTCCATAAAATCCCCGAGAAGCCGAATACCAGAAGGCAATTAATGGACCAAGTCGAGGTTTATTTGCTGGCGATCTCGTGGCATCGAAAGGATACCGAGATCGTGCCAGGATACAAGCTTGGTTACAGAACGTAACCAAATTCGCGCGAAGTTACAATCAAAGTGTAAGTATAAGAATGGAAGCACAAAATAGCTGTCATTAGCACAGTCAAACAAAAGCACGTTAAAACAGTCACTGGTACACTTGGTTATAATAATAATTGTTTTTATTAAACCAGTCGTGTTCTCGTGATAAACGTGAGTCACTACAGTATGAAAAGATAGATTGCAAAAAAGTGTGATGCATAGTTGTGATAATTAGGAGTATTTAAATTATAGTACAAACTAAGAATATCAGAAATGACGCAATTGGATCAAGAAGTACTAGATACGCACGAACGAATGTACTGTATTTGGGATTCAAAACCAAGCATTCAACAAGTAAAAAGGAATCGTTCATTCATACAAACACCACATAAGTTCTAACGAAGCATCTCGGAGGCACATCCTTCTAGTGTGAGGAGCAGCATTTCGCGAGGAAACACGATGTCAAACTGAATGTGAAAACAAACACACGAAGGATGAAGCTAAATATTAAGTCAAAATGTTTACATCTTTCAATTCGTAGTACCTCAAACTGCAAGTACCTAAACATTTATTACTTTGATTTTAACGATTCGACATTAAAAGGCTGAGGTAGTATTTGGATAATGAGAAATTGTGATTGAAATAGTTCATATAAATGATCGTTAAATGCTAGAGATGAGTTTTAGTGTAGGTGAATAATTGTGTCATTTTTGTCATTTGCGCTAGGTAATTTTGTTGCAAAGATTTAGTCATCATTCTTGATATCAGAGCTTACTTCATATCATAGTTTAATCTTTAGATATACGGTCTTTTGTTCCTATTTTCGCTGTCTCAGAACCGCCATTTACTTAATGAATTGAGTTGCGACAATTCGTGGAATATTGATGATTCTATTTGCATTTTCACGCCATCATGGTGATATTTATGTTGTAACGGGTGTGTGACTGCAGGTTATGATACGCAGAGTTTATTTATCGATCGCGATCTGTGACAGTGACACGGAAAACACGTAAGGATGACCTAGTGCCCTGATTGGCCCTGCTTCGCTGTCTAGCCCCAGCCAGTTGAGTCAAGAACACAATTCACAGCCTCTGGGTTATGAGTCCCTTATGATCAGTAGTGCAAATGAGGCAGTCGCTCATAATCCGTCCAGCGATCCAGAAGTGCCCAATTCAGAAGCATGCCCTGTTGTGGGTTCAAGTCCCACTGTGCCTGAAACATGTGAGGTATTGTAGTGACTCACATTTATCACGAGAACACGACTGGTTTAATAAAAACAATTATTATTATAACCAAGTGTACCAGTGACTGTTTTAACGTGCTTTTGTTTGACTGTGCTAATGACAGCTATATTTTGCTTCCATACTTTTACTTACACTTTGATTGTAACTTCGCGCGAATTCGGTTACGTTCTGTAACCAAGCTTGTATCCTGGCACGATCTCGGTATCCTTTCGATGCCACGAGATCGCCAGCTAATAAACATCGACTTGGTCCATTAATTGCCTTCTGGTATTCGGCTTCTCGGGGATTTTATGGAGTCATTTGGAACGAGCTTCTTACGCCTTCTGATCTAATTGGCACGTGTATCTTGGTAGCGGTGTTCATAGTTAATCTCAACTCGACGCCACGCTACAATTGGTAATCCCAATTCAATTACAATTGGTGACCCGTATTTTGGAACACGCCTCAACTTCTCATCAAATCTTCCAAAGAAGCCAATTCGGTGAGTCTATGGTTTACCTATCCACGTCTGTCGTATATTTTCATATTTTTTAATATATAATATACGCGACATGACGGATAACGATAAGAATAGTATTAATATAATAGACTCACACGTATGTGTACCGAATCCTTGTCACTTTTTATTCGCGTGATGATGAATTCCACGCTTTATTCGAGAAATGTTACCCTATTAACGATTCTCCTCGCTGACCCGGCTGCTTGGTACGGAATGCATACGCATAAGCATATCCGTCTACCACCCAGCACCAAATGGTTAAGTTGAACGGTTTCACTGCCAACTTAAAAGTGTTCTACGAGCACACGAAAACGGCAACAGGCACGAAACCTTACCGCTCGTTCTTTTAGGGGGGGAGAACGAGCTTAAAGGCAGATATCCAATGTTCCGCCACTGAACTTGTATACGGCACGACATTGCGTCTGCCCGGAGAACTCTTCACACCACGGAGCAGACCTAACTTCGGTAAATCAGACTACGTCCAACGACTGTCTGCATTTATGCGAACGCTGTCTCCGGTGTCAACTCGAATACAACATCGACAGGTCGCTCTCCCTCGAGAGTTATCTACCTGTTCACATGTTTTTGTACGAGTAGATTCGGTACGCAAACCTTGGCAACAACCTTACGAAGGCCCTTTTCACGTGATCGCTCGTCACGAAAAGACCTTCAAGGTTGATCGATATGGACGCGTCGAGATCGTCAGCATTGATCGTCTCAAACCAGCACACGTCGATGACAGTGCCCTATCTGACACCCTGAGATTCAATGCTAGACCTATCAAACCTAGCGGGATCCTTAAATCTTCTTCAGGTCCCACGCTAGATGCATCTGAGACCTCATTCTCACGTCCCGGTCAACAGCACGCGTCATCTGCACCGTCTACGGACGAGACGATAGTCTCACGTCCAGATCAGCAGACCACGCCGCCTCTGACCTCGGATGAGATTGCAGGCTCACGCGACGCGAACGAGACTGCCGTCTCACGTTCCGGTCGCCGAGTACGGTTACCCGTACGCATCCGCGAATAGTCGCACAGTCAACAACCGATACGGTGTAGGAATATTCCTATGCTACTTGCATGCTACACTCTTCTTTTTTTTGATTTTCTTTTTGTTTCCTGAGCCCACGCCTTCGACCATCTCCGTTTGGTTCCGTCGACTTCAGTCAACTTTGGCGAAAGCTGGCCTGATCACCCACGCTCTTGTCAACGTACTCAGTCGATATATTGGTTTCGAATGCTCGGCATACGCTTGGTCTCGAACTTGGTCGTTACGGTCGCTTCTGGTCTTTTGGCTCAACGTGGTTTCGTCCTTCGTCTGCAGCGTTTATGGTCCGGACCCGTACGAACGCCCTCTTCAGATTCTGGATACAAACCACTCTGGTAGCATGCCGACTCAAGCAACAAATACAGCACATCGCACCTGGTACCGTTCTCCGAAAACGACCTTCGTTGGCAACTCGACGATCAACGATCGCTTTCCTGTTCGCCAATCTTTCCGTCCTACAATCGCTCGTCAGCCGATCAGTCCCACGATTCAAACCGCTATTTATCGAAAGTGTAAACCCTTTCTAGCGGGGGGCTCCTGTAGTGACTCACATTTATCACGAGAACACGACTGGTTTAATAAAAACAATTATTATTATAACCAAGTGTACCAGTGACTGTTTTAACGTGCTTTTGTTTGACTGTGCTAATGACAGCTATATTTTGCTTCCATACTTTTACTTACACTTTGATTGTAACTTCGCGCGAATTCGGTTACGTTCTGTAACCAAGCTTGTATCCTGGCACGATCTCGGTATCCTTTCGATGCCACGAGATCGCCAGCTAATAAACATCGACTTGGTCCATTAATTGCCTTCTGGTATTCGGCTTCTCGGGGATTTTATGGAGTCATTTGGAACGAGCTTCTTACGCCTTCTGATCTAATTGGCACGTGTATCTTGGTAGCGGTGTTCATAGTTAATCTCAACTCGACGCCACGCTACAATTGGTAATCCCAATTCAATTACAGTATCCAACTTACAAGAAGAACCCCTCGTGCCAGAAAATGTTTCCCGTGCATCAAATAATGGTCAGAAATCCAATACGAATTTCAAAGATGCTGTTTATATTGGCGACCTATTACCCACTGATGGAGTTTTGAAGAGGTCTGAAGAATATGTTGCACAAGAATCAAACCTTAATGACCTTGTGGCAAGCCCATTTGGCCACGGTATCATCTGTCTATTCATTGTAACTTAGACTCTTAATTCACTATGTTAATTTCGGTGTGTATGATCGAATGCATGTCTGTACATTAACTTTTAAACTATTTTCCTATTGGTTTCAACGTGCAGATAATCGATAGTCTATCCACACCTGATTAACCCTCAAAAATATATATGGATTTTTAACAAACTCACACTCTCTGTTCCCATCGTGTGCTTGCTCACAATACGCTTGTGGATTATCATTATTCATTAATAATAAACTATCTCCATAACTGGTGTTCAGGCTTCTTAATAATCTCGAGTAAATCCGTAATTCTACTAGGAGATTAAGCCTACCTTAAATACTCAGTTACGGAATATTATTATTTGGAGTCAGATATTAAGGACCTTATCCACAACATATTGGTGACCCGCCTTTAGAACGCGCACCATTTTCCTCCAAAGTCTGCTGCATTCTCCTCAAGAGTATCATAAAGAACTTCATATTGGAATTATTATTATAATTAATAACAATCCATTGACAGTCATAATAAATTCACTCATAATATTTTCCCTTTGGAATTATTACTGTATATTCTCATACATATACCCAAAGTGACAATTTTTCTTTTCGGTGAGTCTTATATATATTTTTTTTGTTGTTATTTTTGATTTCTCTTCATATTGTATATTACAATCCTCAGCTTATTATTACTATTGCTTTTTCGTATCATGGCACTTGATAATTCGTTAAGCCTTTCATCTAAATCTATTTCCGTGGGTGCCATCTCTGTACCTTTACCCATTTTTAATCCACGAAAGGTTGAACTCTGGTTTGCTCGTTTGGAAAGCTTTTTTGTTGCAAACAAAATCACAAACCAGAGTACGAAATTTAGTTATGCGAATTCACTGCTGCCAGATGACGTCATTGAACAAGTGCCGGATGTCATTTTTAAGCCGGATCCTGACTCACCATTCGATTGTCTAAAAAGAGAGGTCATTCGTGTTACATCTCTCACCGACCAACAGACAATTGATCAACTTTTAGCCAACGTAGAGCTAGGTGACAATACACCGTCACAGTTAAAACGCCACATGACAAACTTATTAGGAAATCGTACAGTAGACAAACGTCTACTATATCAATTGTGGCTCAGACGTCTCCCTCAAAACATTCAACAGATACTAGCAATTGGAGACGAAGACGTTGATTTTAATAGACTAGCAGACATAGCCGACAGAATTTACGAACGGTCCAAGACTCACCTTGTATCTCAAATCCAATCAAGCTCAGCTGACGAGATCGCCGAGTTACGACGATCAGTTGATACCCTTACGAAACAGATAGCTCAGATCCAATTATTGAATGCCTCCCACAGCAAGCGTAGAGGAACATCCACAAGCCGTAGACGACGTAGTCCAAGCACTACTAGACACAACATTTGCTGGTACCATAGAACATATGGCAAACAAGCTAGAAAATGTACTCCGCCTTGTAACTTTGCAAGCACACAGAAAAAGGAACGTCAAGACCGTAGGTTAATGACGACTGCACTCACTGACCACAACTTTCAAGACAGTCGTCTATTATATGTTACAGACAAAAGAACCGGCACACAGTTTTTAGTCGACACTGGGGCAGAGGTTAGTGTAGTACCACCTACTGCATTCGAGAAAAACACACCTGACCCCAAACTAAAACTACAAGCTGCAAACAGGTCTGACATCAAGACGTACGGAAAAAGGCGGTTGCAATTAAATTTCGGTCCTAAATCTAATTTTTCCTGGAGTTTCATCATAGCGGACGTCCTCGTTCCTATAATCGGCATTGATTTTCTGCAATTCCACAAAATACTGGTAGATGTCAGAAATAGGAAACTTGTCCTTGCCGAACAGAGTAAGGAAATTAGAGGAATTATATCAAATGAGACTTCCATACATTTATTAGTTAAACCTCATCATGAGAACGACAAATACGTCAATTTACTTAATCAGTTTCCAGATTTATTACGACCGAGTTTCAAACACGACAAACCGGCGCATACCGTCGTACACCACATAAAGACAGAGGGTCCACCTGTGTTCGCACGTCCAAGACGCCTTGATCCCTCTCGTCTGGCTATCGCAAAGAACGAATTCAACAAAATGATTGAGTTGGGCATCATACGCCCCTCCGATAGTCCGTGGGCATCACCGCTTCATATGGTACCTAAGAAAAACTCTTCCGAAGTTAGACCATGCGGTGACTATAGAGCTCTCAACAGCCGGACCATACCAGATAGATATCCTCTCCCACATCTACATGACTTCACTCATAGCCTATCTGACGTGTCGATCTTTTCAAAAATTGATCTCGTCCGTGCTTACCATCACATTCCAATTCATCCAGACGATGTTACTAAAACAGCCATTACTACCCCCTTTGGACTATACGAATTCGTCCGCATGCCTTTCGGATTAAGGAATGCTGCACAAAGTTTCCAGCGTTTTATTGACCAAGTGGTACGGGGCTTACCGTTTGTGTATGCTTACATAGATGACCTACTTATAGCAAGCAAAGATGAAAATGAACATCTAACTCATCTGAAAATGCTTTTTGAGAAGCTAAACGAGTATGGGTTAGCGGTCAATCCTGACAAATGTGAGTTCGGAAAACAATCCCTCACCTTTTTAGGTCACGTACTTGATAAGCAAGGCATTAAACCAGTTCCTGAGGAAACACAAGCTATCAAAAATTATCCTTTGCCTGATTCATTCAAGAAACTACGACGTTTCCTTGGGATGATAAACTTTTACAGACGTTTTATCCCTAAATGTGCAGACTTAGCAAAACCACTAACTGATTTATTAAGGGGACGAGCTAAATCATTAGCAATGACACCGCAAGCAATTCAAGCATTTGATCAGTTGAAAAGCGCTTTAAGCACAGAGGCATTACTCGCACGACGAAAGGTTGATGCACCTTTAGCAATAATGACCGACGCTTCTAACGTAGCAGTAGGTGCTGTACTTCAGCAACGTGTCAATGAACAATGGCAACCCCTTGCATTTTTCTCAAAAAAGCTCAACGCAACGCAAACGAAATATAGCACATTCGGTAGAGAACTGTTGGCTATCTACTTAGCCATCAAACACTTTCGCTACATGTTAGAAGGCAATTCTTTCACGATATATACTGATCACAAACCCCTAACTAAGTCCTTGATGCACAATCATGATAAATATAGTCCGCGCGAAATTCGTCAACTAGAATTCATTTCACAATTTGCAGCTGATATACGCTATATTAAAGGCAACGCAAATGAGGCAGCAGATGCACTATCGAGATTAAATATCAATACCTTCTCGATCCCTGATATAGACTATCAAGAAATGGCAAAGCATCAAAAGCTCGATACGGAGCTACAAAAACTTTTGCAGTCTAAGGAAACGAAATTATTATTCCAAAACATCCCCATAAACAACAAGGACACCTTAACTTGTGATAACTCAACAGGTAAAACTCGCCCTTTTGTACCTTTCGGTATGAGACGAAATATTTTTGAGAAAAAACAGACAACTGTAAAACCATCTAAACCTGCAGCAGAGCAAGCACCATTCAAACTACCTGCAACAAGCAACACTTCAAATCGAAATTCAGCAGCAGCACAAACTACAACAAGATCAGGAAGGAGAGTACATTGGCCAGATAAGTATGTAGCAACCACCATATTTATCTAGACCAAATCCTGAGACTACTCTTATAACACATAAAAATCCTATTTTATTTTGATTACTATTTTTTTTATTGGCCCCACGGATCATCATTATGCTTACATTTTAACTTTATACATTTCATTAATGTTAAATATACACTTGTATATACATGATATGAAACGTTTCAACACACAAGCTGTTATTACAATTTTATGCTTACTCATCATATTGAGTTGTACTTTTATTTTAAAAACAGTTCCGTTCTTTATCTCTTTGTCGAACATAGATGTTAATCCAATTTTTTTTTGGTACATAAAAACATCAATGTTCTGGATGGGAGCTTATGTGGCAAGCCCATTTGGCCACGGTATCATCTGTCTATTCATTGTAACTTAGACTCTTAATTCACTATGTTAATTTCGGTGTGTATGATCGAATGCATGTCTGTACATTAACTTTTAAACTATTTTCCTATTGGTTTCAACGTGCAGATAATCGATAGTCTATCCACACCTGATTAACCCTCAAATATATATGGATTTTTAACAAACTCACACTCTCTGTTCCCATCGTGTGCTTGCTCACAATACGCTTGTGGATTATCATTATTCATTAATAATAAACTATCTCCATAACTGGTGTTCAGGCTTCTTAATAATCTCGAGTAAATCCGTAATTCTACTAGGAGATTAAGCCTACCTTAAATACTCAGTTACGGAATATTATTATTTGGAGTCAGATATTAAGGACCTTATCCACAACAACCTCATGTCTGGTGTCGCTAATCCTCATCTAGTCAGTTTTAGTGAACCCAGAAAATTTTAAAACGCAGAGTTTATTTGTCGATCGCGATCTGTGACAGTGACACGGAAAACACGTAAGGATGACCTAGTGCCAAGTTTGGTCAGTGTTTGTCCTGTTGCAAGTTCCACTCTTCTAATTCATGTAAATTTCATAATTCTAAATGCTTCAAATGTCGTGATATTGGACAAGTTCCGTCAGTTTGTAATGCTAATGTTCATCTTACTGCAATTAATATTAAGTCTTGTAATTCTGATTCTACTGAGTCGAGCATTCAACAAGTACAAAAGAATCATTAGTTAATTCAAACACCACAATTTACCCATTCCTAACCAGCTTTAGTTGCATAAGTATGTTAATTTCAAAGTATTTTTATTTTATAATACTGAAATTTGTCGGCATCTGATGATGACCTACAGGGACAACAATAATTCTTGTTATCCTACCCAAATATTCTTAATTCTCGCTTCGATGTATGAAACAGAAGGAAAAGAGAAAAAAATCGGAAACAAAGGAGAAGCATTTTCGTTAGGTTAAACAATTCTTTTTGAGTTGGATCTAAATCAACCCCTGTTTATTTCTGAAATCCTGTTTCTTAAAAAAGTGTTGTGCTTTATAGTTGGTTTAATTACAGATTCATTGACAAATTTTATTTATCGTTTGTCACAGATTCAAGACTACATATTTTGATTGAGATCATGAACCAAGTAATGTTAGACCACCATTTAAAACCTGGAAGCACTGGACCACCGTTTCGTTTGCTTTAACATCAATCGGTTCATGATCTCAATCAAAAACTTAACAATCTCCACAACCCCTTTACTGATAACTACATTTTTTGATAAAACATTATTTGTCCTTACTTGTATTTCGTACCTGTTATTCTCTCAGATGTTATTTCAGATTATGTTTTATGAAAGACATAGTAAATTTTCACACTTTAAAAGTAAATATATTTGATAATAGTGTAGTGCTGATGTTAACCAAACTAATTAAATGTACCTGGACTTATTAATAATAATATCACAATGGGTTTTGTGAAGATTTTATTAATTTCAATAGTTGAAACCATGAGTCTGTAGCGTGGCGTCGAGTCGAGATTGACTATGAACACCGCTACCAAGAAACACGTGCCAAGTAAATCAGAAGGCGAAGGTCGAACATAACCAGGTTTATTTCGTTGGCGATCTCGTGGTATCGAACGAATACCAAGATCGTGCCAAGGAATGGTACAAGTGGAAACAGGAGAAAGGAGTACGTGCGAACAGTACCAAAAACCGCGAAACAATGATGGAAGGTAATGGAAGCACAAAATGGCTATAATTAGCACAGTCAAACAAAAGCACATTAAAACAAGCACTGGTACAGTTGGTTATAATAATAATAATTGTTTTTATTAAACCAGTCGTGTCCTCGTGATACATGTGAGTCACTACAAGTCAGTTGGAGCTAGACTACCATGGAAAACCCGGAAGCAATGGATGGCCGTTTCGTCGTATTGTGGGACACCTCGGCAGCGTGCATTCACGATCCTGCCCCTCGCTTGGTTCGAATTCAGGACCTATCAGTCTCTCTCCAGTAGCCTAATCACCAGACCACTGAGCCGGCATCCAGCGGTGTTAATGTCTTACTTCAACTAATCCACAAAATTGCGCCACCGTACACTGTTGTCTTCAGTTAGCTGATATCTCACAAATACCTGGTTGAACTCTACTGGTCGTGGCTTCTATCTAGAACTCCAGGGAATGCCTCTTGAAGTCAGTCACTAGTGAGCAGTTGATTGTTATCACAATGGTGGACGGTGGCTCAATTTCGTGGATTGGTTGAAGTTAGACATTGACACCGTTGGATGCTGGCGCAGTGGTCTAGAGGTTAAGCGTTTGTACCCGAGACCAATAAATCGTGGGTTCGAGTGTCACGGGGCGAGATCGTGGATTTGTACTGCTGAGGAGTCCCATACTAGGACGAAATGGCCGTACAGTGCCTCCAGGTTCTCGATGGTGGTCTAGCTTCAACTGACTCATGATTTCAACTATTGAAATAATATGTTTAAAGCAATTAGTCTCTTTGATAAATTTTGATAGTGTAATAAGAAGACGAAAATTATCAGAACTATGTGATATGTTAGTGCAATACATTTCAAACAATCTGATCACACACACTTGTTAAGAACATTTATATATAAAAATGAAAGGTCAATTGAAATAGAAATGGAGAGTAAGAGAAGACAAGGATAATAAAGAAAATAATGCGAAAAATTTGAAACTGCAGTGGCATTGGACCATAACTATACAATCCTCAAAGCTGAACATGAGACAACTCGAGAAATAGATATTCAATATTTAACGCGGAGAAATACCTAACGATGGAGAAGGCGGGAAGAATGATTGAATTAATTGGAGTTGATCGAACGGCGTGGCTCGGCCACACAGGTGTGGCCCATGATGAATGTTACCTTATATCTTCTATTCATATTAAGTATTAAATGCCACTACAAAACTTTACCACTCTGGATAATAAGCTAATATTACTAGGGTTGGTTAAAGTTGAGAACAAACTGTTTTTGAATACACATAGAGGGTTTGAATTTTCGTAGGGCTAAGGCTTCAATAAACCTTAGTATATTCCCTTTTGCACAAATGGCACTATTGATGATGATGCTAGGTTGTTAAACAAAGCACTAATGGGAAGTGGCTGTCCCCTTAAATTTCTAAATAGATGGAAATTTTATGGTACAGTGAGACGTACTATAGCCTTGGCAGAAAAAAAACCTAGATGTAAAGTGTCGACATCACCAGACTATTTAGAGGTGATTCAAATAGCCTTTTATTAAACAAACGCTTAAATCGGTCATTAACAAGACGTATTACTCAGTGATGGTCATTATCAAGGAAATAACAAGGTTCATGCTTCATCGAAAACCTAAGGCTTATTGAAGCCTTAGCCATACGAAAAGTCGAACCCCCTTTATGTATTCAAAAATAGTTTGTGCTCACCTTAAACCTACTCTGATAATATAAGTTCATTACTGAGCATGGTGAGTTTCATATCGTTTTCTACGTTATTTCCTCTGTTTCCACTTAACCTCCATATGTCTAGTCAACCTTATATATATATATATATATATATATATATATATATATATATATATATATATATATATATATATATATATATATATATATATATATATAAAGTTCTTAACAAGTATATGTGTGACCAGATTGTTCGAAATGTATTGCGCTAATATACCACCTAGTTCTAATGATCTTTGTCTTCTTAGTGATAATGTTTCTTTTTAAAACAAAAAAAATTGAATTGTTGTTCGCTATGTTATTATAACAGAAACATACAAAAAATAACAATCTTTACTGGGAATTCACATATATTGCTGTGTATCATGATAATTCTTTACATATAATTTTTCGCATTTAGATTAATTAAAAAATATATTTTACCAATTTAGTGAAACTGTAATATATTTTAAGAAATACTGTCATCATATGGACAAAATATAGTGAATAAATCGTCTGATCTAATTGACATCTAAATAAGGGACACCAAAAATGTGATAACTACGAATTCCAAAAGTAGTGCAATTTAAGGTAGGTAGAATTAGATGAACACAAATGAATGTATTATTATTTGTAATTTGTAATCAGCGCGTAATCAAGTACAAATGAATCATCAGTTAGTACAAATACCACAATTATATAGAACAAATATAACTTTCTTTTATAATTTGCATAAAGGTAAATTATACCTATAATCAAAATAAGCAAAACGATGCATAGCATTGATATTTTGACTAATTCTTAAATATTTCAACTCCTTTTTAAGTACAATCCTTGTTTCATTTGTTTTTCTTGCTTTACTAATTAAATTGTTGAATTCAACAGCCTCTTCTTCTTCTAATTCATCTAGTACTTTTGAAAACTATAATTTAAAAAAAGAGTCAAGAAGTTAACTGAATTAATTTTAATGGGGAAAAAACGAAGGAAAAAGAAACTTACGTTGATCAACTGTTGTTTCTTCTTGTCGATTTCATTGAAACTCATTTGTGTATATTTTGTGTATTCATTATCAAGATCAAATTTCAGATTCCTAATGTGTGTTCTGTAAATCAAAAGCAAACTTTTTAAAATACAAATTCAGTAAGTTTCAAAATATTTTATACTGTATAGTAAAGAATTTCAGATAGCTTATTTTTATCCCCGAAACTCCTTGATTATTCAGTGGTAAACATAAAATTTAAGGTCCTCCAGAAGATATAAAATGATATGTACCTGACGGTTTAATTATCAGAGGAGTTTCGGTCCTTTATTTTTCAAAAATATTAAACAAAAGTAATTAGTAGATCTTTTATATGCTACAGTTCTTAACTCTTTTTGTCTAATAATAGTGCTTGGGACACAATAAAATAGTGATATTTTGTGGTAGTTTAAACAAGATTCATCAGTTTGTTTCATTTTTCTGGCAATTTCAGAATTAAAGTTTAAGTATCAACGTACTAATAATGATTTGGTGAAGCTGTTTCGGTATCATACGATTAGGGTTTTATGGTCCTAGAAATTTATAAACAGAATACCTATTAGTAACTGCAAATCATTAGAAAACAGTTATATACATTAGGTAAAAGAGAAAATTCTCGATGAATAGTTTCTTGGCTGTCAACACTTATCATAAAATTAACTTGAACATTACTGTGTTACGTCTTTTAATAGATAGGAACTCTATTTTATATGAAGATTATACCCTTAACTAAACGTGAGGAAGTATTTAAAAATTCCATTTTGAGGTCAGTGTTAACCACTGTATCGATTCAGATTGTTCTGTTCTCGTTTTAAAAAAGAAAACAAATGATTTGCCAGCTTTCATCCGACGGTTTCACCTGTGTCTAGCGATTTCATTCACAGGATTAAACCTTTCTTCGCAGACTTAAGTGCAAGTAGAGCAACGCTGTTATTACCTTTTACTAAACAATAAAAAATACTGGGTTGGTTAATGAAAATATGCACATATAAATATAAAAATTAACGTCTAAAAATATAAATCTTTTAGTGCATAATTCATGTTTCAGTACGTAAATCGGTTATGCATCTGTAATATAAGGTACTTTGAGGCATACAACACCCCTAATCTTTTCGCCCGTCTAGTAAATGCTATCGAAGAATGTATCTAAAGCTGGATTCCATGAACATATTATACGCCGTAGAATAGAGAACATCATTAACCTGTGTTTTTCTTTGTTAAGTCATGATAGTAGATATTTTTCAATAAGAGGAAAATGTATCTACAGCGGATGGCTTGTGTACTAAGGTTCATAAAAGTAGGTGAACAGTAAAATAAACATTAAATTGGCCAGTCGTTATAACCTAGCTTTTAATCAGAGGGCGATTTTGTTTTGATAGAAAGATTTTCTGTTCAGACTGTCTTTTGACCTGACATCCACTTCAGATATAGTTTTTCATTATATCACCAACAATATCTTTAAATTAAAGGTTTACAGATGGTGTTTTTTAATATTGTATTTATTCTATGAGGATTATCTTTTTTTGCATATAACCAGTCTATTAAAATGAAAAACAAACTTACAGTAATGAATGTAAATCATTCTCTTTTTCATTTAATTCAATTAGATTTAAATATTGCACAGTTTTTATTTGATTAAATGTATTCATCAATTGTTGCTCATGTATATGTAATGGATGATTTATACTGTAAGCATAATTTGTTAATTCATCTTGTTGCTTTGATTCATTAATTTCATCAACATAATCTTCATTATTTTCATGAGATTCTCTATTAGAATAATGATTGAGTATTTGTTGAGTAATTTTACGACTACGTAATCTATGTTGGATGCATTTTATTTCATCTTTAGTTTTTGTACTTAATTGTGATTCAATAATTTGTTTTCTATAATGAAGCCAAGATTGTTCATTTATCCAGTTATTAGAAGTAGGATATTGTACTGTTGCTAATGAATTTGTACATACTTTCCATATTGGATGATTAGCTTCATTACCGAATACAGTTTTATTGAATGCTTCATGTGCATCTTCAATCTGAATAAAAAAATATAATAACAAGTTAATTATATAGAAATGCTATTTTATTTAAACTAATGTAAGTAATTTAGAATTTCTTAGGAAACATCTCTATGTGTGGCAGTATGGAAAGTTTAAAATTTAATTTGGTAAATTGGACTAATCCGAATATCGGGCGACCGTTTGATTCATTTAGTATCCTTCTCATTACTGGTGGAACTTTAATACTTTAGTGCAAGGAGATGAGTTGTTGAAATTAGCTAATTGAGTGAACGGTAGAAATAAAGAATCAGTGGAAATGACTACTAAATTCATAATTCTAAATAACTGACTTAAAAATAATGATGTTTAGGAAATAAGTAGCAGGATTATCCATTATTGACTATTAAATTCACATAATTGTAACTTTTTCACATTGGAATACGTATCTTGAAAATTATTGTTTTAATTCAGAACATCTTTATCATAAATCAAATCAATAAACAGATTCAATCTGAAAATTGCTCTAAAATACTGGATACTGATAAGTTTAGTATAACTTTTTTAACAAGGTATCCACACTTTTGCCCTTACCTATAAATTCAATGTTGTTAACTGAAGTGTCCAAGAGATAATCGATTTTTAACTACTAGTATACAATTTGGGCATAAAGGTAAATTACTGTCTCGTTATTTTCAAGTATTGCTTTCTGTTATTTTATTTACTCAGTCTAACTAAACATCATAAATTCACTGATTATTCATTACTGGAAATATAATATCACATTATAATACTTGGTAGTAACTAGGCATCTTTGAATTCTCCGAAAAGAGGACGTTTTATTGAACCAATCTTTCTTATTTAGAAGTATAATTATCGAGGGAAGATCACGAATTAGGTTCAGTAAATTACCAATGAAAAATATTTTTTTCTATTGATGATTGAAGCGACGTTTCAGATAGTTTCACTTCAATAGTCACAACATAAATATGATAAAACCTACATGATAATGAGTTCGTAACAATTCCATTTTCCATTTACGATATTTCTGTTTATACAAATATTTTCGAATTAAAATCCATCCCCGTGTTGCTTTTAACCACTTTTCAATTTGTTTCAAATGAAGTGACTGAATTTCAAGGTCATTTTTCAATTGCTAAATAATTTGTATTAATGAAAATTGAACATTTCACGTACACAGTTTATAAATAGGGAACAGTTCAACAAAAACATTTTTTTTTCACATCCTTTTAACTAATCTAGATCTTACATGTTCGGTTATTTGAATACAACTACTTAAGGATGTTAATCCTAGTAAGACTTTTCAAAGTATTTGTTTTTAAGTATCCAAACCGTTGGTATTACGAATATACTCATAAAAACCTAAAGATCAAGTTTGTTTTGGTTATTTTATAAGCGTTTTAATTATAACTCGAGAGAGTTTGGAAAATCAAGAGCAACAATCGTCCAAATGTTCCCTGATCCAGTTTATCCTATTTCGTTATGTGGAAGAAGGCTATTTTTACAGAATTGAAAAATGCAAGCAAACCTTTTATTCCGATTAACATACTAATTTATATTAAAACTAGTGTGAACCAAGAAACTGAGGCTTTGTTCCAGTGAAGATCAATCTTAATCAGTATTCTCATTTATTGATTCTAATTTGATATTATCATCAATGTTAATTCCTAAATAATTTCTATCTTAAGATTTATTATGATTAAAATTAATGAAGCGCAAATGATGTCCAGAATGATAATGGAAGCGTGCAATAAAACCATCGTGTTCAGAGATAGGATCATTAACGTTCTACCTAGGACAGAGGTGAGCAATCTACTGGTGGAGATTCAGTCTAATTTGACCACCCGTTGATGATAATTTATACTTAGAAGCTCTATTATCTTCATATCTATTGACATTCCTACTAACATTTGTCTTGAACTGGTATATAATCATATGATTTTTTAAACTGGTGCTGACTGATTAATGGATTGGATCTGTATCGATATATTTACTGAGAACAGACTGACATGAATGGGAAGTTTGTAGAAACTGTCCATCGTTCATAGAATGTGCTTGGATTATAATTTTAACATCTTTTTAGTAAGGTTCATATTCAGAGTGGTCTTCAGACATGGTATTGTAATTAAACCATCCAGTTTATAAACTATAGAATCATCATAGATGATGAATATTCTTTTTTTTCAAAATGTAACATTGCTTACATTTATCTGTTCATTAAGATCGTTCACATTAGCTCGAAATAGTTGATCGATTTTCTGCATTTGTATTTTATAACTTTCTTTATTTCGAATAAGATTCTGGAAATAAATAAAATATGTTAACAAGTACGAACTGTGTTATAATGAATAAATCTCATTTCACAAATCATAAATTCAAAAATTAGACAATCGGATTCATATATTTGTCTGAAAGTTTAATGGTTTTCAGCTAAATCTAGTATGATCTCTTGGCTGTGCAATGTTGAGAATTTCGAAACAGTCTACTCTATCCCTTAGGGCTTTCCAGTGGTTCATCAACGGATATCATTTCAGGATACAAACTATCTACAAACTGAGTATATTTCGAAAAATAGAGTATCTTAATGTTTACTTGTGACTTTTGGGTGAATTTGATAGCTGATTTGTTGCCGATTCATTTCGAAACTTCTGGATATTTTAGCAACATGCATTTTATAACAGTTAGTCCTTTTGATGAGTTTGAATAATGTAATAAGAAGACGAAGATTAACAGAACTATGTAATGAATTAGCACAATGCATGTCGGACGATCGGATCACACATGCTATTGTTAAGAACATTTATATATGGGAAGTAAATCGTCAACTAGACAAACGGAAGTTAAGAAGAAACAAAGATGATGAAAAAAAATCTGAAAAATAATGTGAAACTCACCATGTTGGATAACAAAAAAATACCACCAGAGTCGTTTTAGGGTGAGAACGAATTATCACAAAAATAAAATAAAATCAGATGACTTAATAAATACAGTTGAAACAGATCATAAGAATGACCTTACTTCAGCCCTTGAAGTTTCGTACAAAATTTGTGTTACTTGACTATTTTGAGTCAAAATCTTGCGTCATTTATCTGTCTTCGATTTACCGTGAGATTTTGATGTTAATGAGTATTTTAGCAAACATGAATCGGTGAAATACTATCCAACATAATGATCACCATTTATTGATCTCATTCTGTTTCCTACTGATTGAGATCTTATTTATTTATGGAAGCTTTTCTGTTGTAGTAATGTTGAACATTTTCTAAACTTTCATAACTAATAATTTCTTGTCCAAGTAGATGGACAAGTTCGAAGTAAAGTTAACATGTATAGATTTTATCATTAACTGTGAAAATGTTCCGGTGACAATTTGTAGCATTTGAAAATATCTATTATGTTAATATTAAACTGGTGTATTATAATGAAGCAGACTTATTACTCAGATGAATAATCTTAGTGGACTTGTGTTCTCTGAACTCGTTTTGAGGAATACTATCAACCCCTCAAGTTGCAGTGGACTTATCAGTTATTGTATAAGCTCTAGATCAATTTATTCTAATGAACTTGTTTGAACATTCCATACTATGAAGTAAATTTAGTTTCAAAAAGTTGTTGACAGTTGTACCTTAAAGTATAAGTCTAATAAGATAGAATATTGCATGAAATAGATTAATGTTGTTACTTTATCCATTTACAGTTTTTATGATATCTACCGTTTATAGTAATATAGTGTAATATGTTACATTTTAAACAACCAACTTTATAACAGTTTTTTTCAAACGACATTGAAAATTTTCAAAGTTGGATTCGTGAATCGATTGAAGCTAGACCATCATTGAAAACCTGTAAGTACTGAACGGCCGTTTCGTCCTAGTATGGAACTCCTACTGTGGTATTTGCTACTGACGTCGACAGATATATGTAGTGTGTATCATCAATCGATAGTGCAACGCCTGGCGGCAGAAGGTGAAGAAGATCGAATACAGGAGAACGAGAACAGAGAATGGTTGATTTGGAAACGAAAGGACGATCAAGTCTGAGACGATTAATTGACATTTTTCAGATGCAGTATTTACTGCATAGTTCTCAGATTTTACTAACACGTTCTGTAACTTTGTATTTAAATGCATTCGATTGTTCCCACCTGTTTCTCGTTCACTACACTACAACTACAATCTTCACAAATCCCCATACATTGATAAGTGACTGACTAAGGGTTGTTGGTAAATTCATGAAGTTGAACATAATTGCATAGATATACTGTGCTATAACTTAAAAACAAGATAATAATGAAACGATATTGTATATATATTGTATAAAACTTACTTCTTCGATATCATTTATTGCATTTGTTAAATAGTCTACTTGTTTTTGTGGTTCTTTGCGTAAATTTTTAAATTTTTGTAGCAACTTATTTTGATCTGATTCAGTATTCTTCGATTCCTAATGGATGAAGTTTTAGTGAAAATGTTTAGTATCATTCTTTTATGGATGTGTAATAAAATATAGTTGTTATATACGGTATATATTAATGGTTTTATTAGCAATTATAATGATAATAAGACATGTACTAGTAATATATATGTTTATTTGGTTAATAATACAGGGAATTTTAAGCGGTTATTTATTCAACGATACTTTGAGGCCGGGTTCGTTAATTGCCAAGAAACCATTCAAATCTAGGAACAGATGAATAGTTACGTTGGTCTAGACAGATGTTGCTTATGACTACTTGTCAAAGTCCCTGTCAAAATTTGACGCTAGAAACTTTAGAAATTCTGTTGAGCAACTTGAACTTGTTTGTTGAACATCATGTGTTTCGCACACCCTCGTGATTGGGATGCCATGAAAACGTGAGTTTTTCAAATGATTCAGGATTACTTGATCTCGGTCCAATTCAGTTAGCTTTTCAAGATTTATTTTGATTGGTACCAGGTGTATGTAAAGCTTGACAATAGAAGGTTGATTTGTTTTGAGTGAATCATGAATAAAAATATGATTTTTAAGATTTATTTATTTCCTGAAACTATCGGCAATATAGACAAATTAAATAGGTCTAATCAGATCATTAATTTACAGTGAATGACCGTTAACTGTATTTTCTCTCAATTAATTTATGATTAAATTAACTATTTACTAAATCAATTCACTTGGTATTATTTAGCTTGTATCTTCCCATTGAGGTTTAAGACTGCAATTGATCAGTCTGTTATCGGCATATGTGCATACTGTGCGTATGCCTCGATATTGCCTTAATTCACAAGCCTTTTGTAAGCAATGATGGATAGTGGCTAGCAGTAGAATCCAGGACGCGCGTTTCGTCCCACTTAGGACTCGTCAGCTGGATGTACCTTCATCTCAAGGTTGATGTTCACTCTGGGACTTGAACCCAGTACCATTCGCTTCAAACGCCATCGAAGTTATCCACTTAGCTACTGAGTCCTGATAGCCACTTGCTTGTGCGATGGGGTGAATTTCAATTCACTTGGTATTATTTGGGTTCGAGTCGCAAAGTGAACATCAACTTTGAGATGAAGGTACGCCCAGCTTAGGAGTCCCAAATAGGACGAAACGCGCGTCCTGGATTCTACTGCTAGCCACTATCCATTATTTACTAAATCATTATATTAATGTAGTATTTTGTCACTTAATAATTTTATTTTGAAAATTTCATCATAATTAAAAATTTTTTTTAAAATTCAAGTTGACAAAAGACTAGATATGACATTTATCAAAATATTATCACTGTAATCGAAAATGCACACATATCACTTACATGTATGGATCTCAGCTAATAATTCTACTATGTTTTCTTAATGGATAATTTCGATAAGTAGTATAAATTATGGTGACGGTGATAATGTGATTCATGATAACTATTTATATTATTCCATTAAGAGAACAATAAGGTAATAAAAGGAGCAGATAAGAAGAAAAAGAATCATAGCTGATTTTAAGTGTTAGAAATGAATGCGGATTATTAAAAGACAAAATACTTGAAAAGGTTCAATCGGAATAAATTTTATTACCAATTTTGTGAATGTATGAAATGAATTATATCAGTCTGAGTATTAATTAATCAACAATTTGACCTTGAACAATAGGATATAAATTGAATATTATAGGGAGAAACAGTAGGTAATATATCATTTGTCAAATATAAACATATATATCTTTATTTCATTCATACTTAACAGAAATGTCACTATAGTGACAAAGGTTTGTTTATTATTGCGGGAAATTCAGCTCAAATAAAAACAGTCAATATTTACTTATTCCCCCCCTCCCATCATATTCAGTAGACTGTAGGAAGATTTGTTTAAATGTTTAATATAAGCATAGATTTCGTAAATCTTGATAGAAAGAGTCATTTCTAGAAAGAATATTATCAACCAATAAAAACTCGGCTAACATCCAGTGAAACAATCAATGAACTGTAATTGCATATAGTTAATTGTTGTATTTTTCATGATTTATACTACATATTACTGTTTGTTTGAATATTACTGTGTGTGTAAAGATTATTTATTTAAGTTGAAAGTCATCAATAATAAACGTTAATAGCTTGAGTTTAGCAATCAGGTCATATCCTAATCCAGATTATTAGTTTATAATATATTCTAACCGGCCTCGAATTCTCTTTAACATCCAAGAGACTGATTCGCTCCAAAAACTAATTCACTGATTTATTTTGGTAGACCTATTGAATAGACTAAACCTTTGAAGATGATCACATCCAGAAATATTTATGCACCATTAACACTTCTATTGATGGCAACATTCAATTGATTGACTTTGAATTACGGATTTACTAATTTCAATTAGCTAATCTTAGATTCCAAGCAGTTCCGATTGTATAATAAATACACCCACTAGTTTACTATGATTTCCGTCGTTTTTTTAACCTTTTTTCTCTCCTTCAGCGCCTAGAGTTCATTATAAAACAGGACAAAATATATTTTTTGAGAACTTCAGGAATCCTGACCACCCCCTGTTGGTCTAATATTTAATGATATTTGAAAACGTAGGATAGAAAAGTCCCAGAGATAAACTGATCCCAGTTAATTTTATAATATAAATTATTCCTACTCTTAACTTATGTCGCTGTTAATATTATTTATCAATCTACAAGCAGTTACAGTGAATATATAAATAACATTTTGAAATAAGAATGTAATTAGATTTTGATGCATGTACTGAAAAATGTTTGCTTGGATGATAGCGATATTAATAAAAGTGTAGTTACCAGATATTTTACAAACGAGAGACAAGTCATTTAATCGTAACCAGTGATTTGTGCCCTTTGTATTACTCCGAAATGAATTTGTTCCCAGGAATATATAACTGGATTGCGCACCCTGATACCAAATAACTTGTCGGCTTTATTTGGATATGCGACATGAAGTGCAGATAAACCATTGTAAAATGAACCAAGATACTCTTTTTTGGATGACAATCTTTTACTGAAGATAGTTTTCACATTTATTGTACAATAATACCACTACTAGGTGTTATCATACAGTTCTGTGCATGGAGACCTGTTGGAAACTACTCAAAAATAACGTCTGGTTACTTCATTAATAATTTCTAACTCCGGCTTTAATAATAATGTTGAGTACGCCCAATCACCACCTACCTCAAAGGGTGATAATTTCTGATTCAGGAATTTGCTAGAAGTACTTAGACGAAAGAATGGGATTAGTCCATGAAGTCACCAGTGACTGAACATAGCCATGTTAATAGGTGTAGACTGACCGATTTCTGTCCGTGTGATTATCGTAACCAATGGTTAGAGACTATGACATGGCTCAAAATCGTTTGCAATGGCTTAAACGCATCCATTATTTATCTCTCCCAAATTCTGAGACTTCGAATTTTCCATAACCTCCTTTTTGCTTTAATCTCGTCAATTCAAATATTTTTCCTCGCGTCGCACCTTCGGTGCCTACGTTTTTTCTATTGCCAGTGAGGAGAGTACATGTCCACATTTCCGAGCATGTTCTAGGGAAATTGAGACTTTGAGGGGTAATGACTTAACAGTGCAATAGCTCGGCATTTACTTGATACCACGCACACAATTGACATTTCTCAAGCCTTCAGAATTATTAGTAGACAAAAGAACACGGCGTCTCTTCGGTTTGCTGAAACAACAGCGATAAAAAACCCAAACCTGAATTATGTATCCAAAAAGAAACAGTAGTAAACCTATTCCTACCCTGGTAAATCATTTCTTTATGGTCTTGCCTCGCCGAATTCTTATTTTCTATACATTAAAACCACCCTTTCACTCATATATTCGTATTCACTTAACTTATATAAACTCTCGAAATCCTGTCCGATATTGCGCAACCCATCTTACCAGTTTTTTAATTCCATGAATATTACGGAAACCATTCATAACCTCTAAGATTATCATGCAATTTATCTTGTGTCTGTCCAAGCGGCAACTTGAACCGATGCATATACGTAGCTGGTCCTACGTTGTAGCTGACTGATCTGTCTCTGAACCTTAATTAGTGCATCACCCACCCCTTATTTCTTGGATTCCAATATCAAAAGAACCCCGACCTGTTCCTGAACATATATAAAATTACTAATGATTACCTTTATCATCCCGATTCTTTTCATTCATCTACGTCAATTGCATCACACTGTATCTTCAATGTAAACTTTCAGTACATATACGGTTGTAAGCAGCTGATGAGAAACCACGAGATGTAATGAACTAATATTGCTCTGTATCCACGTTTGTTCTGGCTTTATTTAAATTCATAAAGGGAACCAACTGCATGAAATCTTCGAGGAGTTACTACTGATACTACCTTTACTATTCTGGGATTTGGTATGATAATTTCACCTCTCTGAGCTGATGGGGTGTGACAACTTGTACATAAGCTTCAGGTTCTACGTTGTGACAGACTTAATAATACTGAACGAGACTGATTATCCTTTTTTCCCGGCCCACTAATTATAAATAGAAGTTAAAGATTGCCGGGAAATTTTATTGATAGAGACCCATTTTAATACATTTATTTACATACAGATTTTATCGTAGCAATCATTAGTTAATTCATTTGTCCCACTAGATGAAGTTTACACAAAATTAGTTCAGATGAATGTCCTGCTGAACGAAAATTATAGCGAACTAATTCAAAAGTTAAATTAGTGCGAATCACACCAAATTATTTAACACAATGAAAGTTGCACTGACTTAATACGGAAATCGGCTCGAAAATTAAATTTAAATCATTTTATAAATTTAAAATGAATTCCTTTTTAATGGATTGTGCTGGTCACATAACATTCCCCACAAGTAAATAATGTTGAGTGTTTATGATTTAGTGAGAACAGATACTTAACCACATGATCTAACACGTCTTATTTTATATAAAATAGAAGTAATAATTACAATTTAATACTTAGGGAGAAAACAGTTTACAGGAAGGGTTTTAAAGGTGAAGCCTCAAAATATTTGTTTTCATATATTATATCAAAATAATTCAGATGTTAAAACTATATGTTCAAATATGTAAATCATCATCTGGATCCTCGTCATCCAAATCATCAAAACAATCTGGCTGATACTGAATAACACAACCAGGAGATTCACTTTTCTCCACTGTGTTGGACAGCCGTACTGCATCATGCGGTAAAACGACGAAACTACGAGCAATTTTTTCACTTTCAGTCATTGTTAGATTGAAAGTGCTCTTAGGTAAAGGACTAGGCACTGGTAAAGAATCTGGTTCATTTTTATTTATCGAGTACTTGAGAATTTTTAAAGCTTTTGTATCAAGTTCGATGGTACCACATTCAGTAAATGAAGACTTGTTGAAAGAGACCGAGTTCTCTAAGCATTTGTTACACTCACCCTGAAGGCTACGACGATGAAACAATTTCAGAGATTGACAGATCTGATTCGTCAAACTGTTTGAAATCTCTGTCAACGACCGGCAGTAAATAACAGAAGTTGCATATGCTTCTAGTGTATCAATTATTGTGGAAGATGCACCATAATATACCTTGCTAGAATTATCTATTACAGGATTAAAGTTACAAACTACTCGTTGTACATAGGGTGTTAAAGAAAGATTAAACAAAGAACCAATAACAAACTGACACCAGTAATCAAATTCATAATCGATAGGACAATCAATTAAAAACCAAGATAATGACTCTATGAAGATAATTGTTTGTTGATCGTTCCGTTTTCTAACAGAACAAGATAACTTTGACAGCTTATTTACAAGACTTTCGGAAGTTTCATAATTATAAGTATGCAGAACTTCAAGTGACTGATGAGAATTCTCAACAGTTTTGTAGTTGTATAATTCAGAAGTAACAAGTATGCAAGTATATTTTTCACAATTCTCATTTATTAAACATTTCCAGAGCCAATTATTATTATTGCGAGGCATATGGCATTCATCAATGTAGGCGATAAAATTGGAAGGTATTTTATTGTATAGTAGATCAAGGCAACGTTGCTTCACCATTATGGCAAAAACGTACAATTATTTGAGAAACGGGTACCTATGTACTTATAGATAACGGACGGGTTCTATTATATCTGAAATTAAAAAAATGAAGTTGCGTTAGATGTGTAGAAGGTGGATGCTTATCATATTTAATATGAAAATGTTATTTTTTAACATCGAGATACTTACAAGTGTGATAGAAATAGCTTAAGATGTTTACAACGGAATCATAGATGGTTATTTAGATAAAAAAAGGCTTGTACAAGTACGATATACCCGATTATTTAAAATGACACGAACAGTGAATATTGATGTACCATCACGAGGTATTCCAAGCTACTTTTTTTTGACATTTATCCAGTTGTTTTGGGTAAATTAGCATTAATAACCTGTTCCTTTTTTACTACTGATGAATTTCAAAGTCCGTACTCCAAAGCATAAACTTGATCGTGAAAATGAGATAGAAAACACAACCATTTCACAATGTCGTCGAATAAGATAAATGGTAACTAGCAATGCAGAAACAAATTAGACTTTGTAGGACTTTTGGTCAATGCACTAGTTTTCGTCTACTGTTTTTTGTATAACAATATTTGTTCGCCTTATCTAAGTGGATCAGAATGTTTTTGAATTAACGTCAGACTTTATATGAACATAATGAATAAGGTAGTGAATAGAAGTGGAAAATGTACATAAAATTAATGAGCATTCACTAAAGTTCTCTTTGATGACAAACTGATAGAAGCGCTTGTCCAAAACAATTGTGCTGGAAAGGACAACTTTCAGTGATCTTTCGTTCATTTTAGAAACGCCCCTCGGTTAAAGACTTGCGAAAATGATAGTGTCAACGACTAGGATTAACAGTCATATCTAAACAGACTGCACAATGAATGACCTACAAGCTAATTACCCCCAATAGCCTATGATATTTTATTGTTTGTTTTGTATTTATGTTCTATGTTACAGTATGTTATTTTATTAGATGAAAAACATCTCATTTGACTAGTGGTTTTGTTTTTGATTTCTAATCGCCCTAAGGCCTGAATTAATGATGCGGTCTCGTGGGCAACCGCGAACGTGCTCCACAATCCATTCAGGAAGACTTAAGGTAAGGAAAAAGTGTCGACAGACTGGAAAGGATACCTCATCAAGATACTGATAAAAGATTTGAGGAAATCGGAAATCTACAGAAGCACCCAACAGTCAACTCACAGTTAATGACTAAACAAGTTCCACCATCATGTGGTTTATGTTAATCGATATTCTAGTAAGATTACAAACTTACAAAACGAAATGTTTGGACAATTGTTAAGCTGTAGATGGTCAAGACAAGCGCTCAGGTCAGGTCCATTCAGAGCAGCCCGCCGTTTTGTTCAAACGACCTTGGACGGCCTGGTATGGGGCGTCACTCCGTATTTCAGTTGCTGTGGGTTTGTCCAGTGTCCATTTTGGTTGAAAAAATATTAAGTGTCTTCATATTTAAGTAGTCCTTTGCTGTAGAAAAATCTTAAAATCATTGAGAAAGACATTATTTCACGTTTCTCTGTTTTGTAGTATACACGTTGGCTCGATTGTTACTTCGTAATTTTATCAAATGAATCTCAGCTCCTTTTTGAAACTTGATAGGGTCCAGGAGGTAACGTAACAAGAATAAGGATGACTTAGCATGTTGTCGCGCGCCTGTTGTCAGGACGTTCAAGGTCGTTGAAACGAACCCGCAGGCAGCCTCGAAAGGCTCTGACGTTTTTGCTGTATCCAGTTTTCCACTTTTTTGGTCACAGACCATTTTGGTCTCTGG